GTTGCTACTATAGTGAATTCATGGTAGTGACACTTTCCCAACTTGGGTTTCCAAGTCATTGAAGCATTGCTTTAGTTGTGTGTTCTACGTTATCATTTGTTGTCTGAGTTGCTTCAACATATCTTCTAGTGTAGGCCTAGAGTTACCCTGTTGCATAAAACCACTTGGGCTTTGATGTATTGGCATAAGGTGTGGATTCGCCTGTTGTCCCAGTGAGGTAGACTGATACTCTTGTTGTTGGTAAATGCCTTGGTTGCTTGATTGGAAATGAATCTCTGGTGGATGGTTGAAGACAGGATCATATTTCAAGTTTAGATGGTCTCTCCATCCAGAATTATATGTGCCCAAGTACGGGTAGTACTCCTGTTGTGGACTGTATGAATATAATTGCCCGTAATGTTGTTGTTCAGGGAATATACTGCCCATTGTTTCACTAATTAAGCTTGATGTCTCTTGAAGTTGAGGGCATAAATTAGTGGGATGATATATGGAGGTGCATATCCCACATACATATTGTTGATGTTGAAATGTGTGTTGGTTTATGACCAATTGTTGTACCCTAGATATTAGATCATCCAATTTTCTTTCAAGGTTCATATCGTCAAAATCACTTGTTTACTGGAATGGCAACGGTAGACTATGAGCAAGTACACCAGGTAGGTTCCCAGGAAAGAGAAGTGGGTCACTAATGGACACGCTTAAGTACCTAGTCTTTCCTAGCCCAAACCCTCCTAGACATGCACTCTCACACTACCAAGCTATATCTAGAATTTCCTATCAGAATGATTTTCAAGAATTTTCTTGCAAGGATGACTTATAAAAAATTTATGGCAAAAATGGTTAGGGAGCACACAAGAACAAATTATAATAATTTTTTATTTTTTTAAATAAAGCTAGAAAAACAAATTAGGAAAAAAATTGAATTTTAGAATTTTTTTTTATAAGGCTAAAAAAAATTTGATTTTTTTTTCAAACAAGTTTTTAAAGGAACCCAACAAGTGGGTTATCAAAATAACATTAAGAGAAGTAAGAATGTTAAATTAAACTACAAATCAAATAAAATATTCAAATAATTAAAAATAAAATATTCAAATAACTGAAAATAAAATATTCAAATAACTGAAAATAAAATAAATTATTCAAATAATTGAAAATCAAATAAAATATTCAAATAATTGAAAATCAAATAACTAAAAATAAAATAAAATAAAAAATAACTGAAAATAAAATAAAATAAAAAATAACATAAAATAAAATAAAATAAAAAATAACATAAAATAAAAATAGAATTAGAAAATAAAAATTGAAAACCTAGACAAAAATCTTGGTCCTCAGCAACGACGCCAAATTTGATCGATGTCGTACTCGATCAAATAATTAAAATAGATAAATGTCGTACTAGGAACCTTTCCTAGGTCATCTCCCAAAGACCACGAATTTCTATTAAAGCTTGTCAATTTTTCGAATTAGAATAGCAACAAAAGGGGGGGTTTTTAGAATTAAAATATTAGATGAAACAGAATAAAAGCATATTATAAAAATGCGGATTAAAAACAAATTAGAATGCATATTTGATCGATGTCGTACTCAGTCAAATAATTAAAATAGATAAATGTCGTACTAGGAACCTTTCCTAGGTCATCTCCCAAAGACCACGAATTTCTATTAAAGCTTGTCAATTTTTCGAATTAGAATAGCAACAAAAGGGGGGGTTTTTAGAATTAAAATATTAGATGAAACAGAATAAAAGCATATTATAAAAATGCGGATTAAAAACAAATTAGAATGCATATGATTTCCTTATTCCAATGCAGTGTCACTTACCCTAGGTTACGAAATTAATTTGAAATTAACCAAATAAGCAAAGATAAATCCCAAATTATATTCCAATCCAAAATTAATCAACTAAGCGAAGATTAATCCCAAATTAGTTTTAACCCTTATTCCAATATGAAATTAACCAACTAAGCAAAGATTAACCCTAAATTATCCTTAACCCTTATTCTAATATGAAATTAATCAACTAAGTGAAGATTAACCCCAAATTATCCTTATAAAATTAAACATTACATACATCACATAATCTCATCTCTAAAACAGAATTAAGCAAACTGTGATATTAGTTTCAGTTTCTTAAGCATAAACAGATTATAATTCAATACTGATATTAGAAGATGAAGAGTTAAGAAAACAAACGAAATGAAATTGAAGAACAAAATCTCAAAGATCTACTTGCATTCTCCACAGAAAATCAATACAAAGATTTAGCTATCCATGAAAAATCAAAAATGCAGAAGAAGAGACATAATAAAAATCGAAACAAGAATTTAAAATAAAGACAGAAGACTAAACAAACATGAATACAAATTGCAGAAGATGAAAGGTGGTTGTGTGGCTGCTGTGTGGTGTCATTCTCAACCCTACTTTATCCTTTATATAAATAATCTTAACCCTAATCTTAATCTAGTTTTGGGGCCATAAGTTGGTTCTAGTGCAAGTCTGCAAACTTCAATCACGTGTAGTATTTTTAATACTTATCCAAATTAAGCGATTATAGTTTCCTTTGAAAGCATTTTGAGTTAGCTTTAAGACGCCACCATTTCTACTATTTTCGAAGGTATAATGAATTTAGGAGACTTAAATTACTGAAACATGTCCATTGGGCCGGCCTGGTGCGTTTGACCCATTTTGGATAATTTATGTAAAATCCAATTTAGCTCCGAATTGAATGATTCTGGATCCTCTGGAAAGCTGAATGTGTCTAATTTATAATGCTTCTAGAATCCTGATTTTTGGATGTATGTAGAAAAATTGATAAATAAAATAGTGAACCAGTTTTAGTACCAATATGGAATAAAATATGACAATTGACCCAACTTTCCAAGCCCAAAATTGCTTTAAACTATAATATGGCATATAGCCCAATCTTCTAGGCCCAAAATTGCTTTAAAGTGTCCTGAAAATAATAATGAGCAAAAATTAGATCAAATAGATTCAAATTAATTAAAATCTAAATTATTGGCCCAATAAAGCCCAATTAATAAAAATTTACTTATAACAGAAAGTTAAGCCCAAAACACTAATTAAAATAAGTTCAGAAAGGGAAGAAAATATGGGAATATAATAACTCTTCAATGATCAGTCCCTTCCATAAGCGATTTGTACGTCCATTGTCAAATAGTTTGGATTGATGATCAATGCCTTCCACGAGCGATCTATACTTCCATGTTTGAATAGTTTGGATTGATGATTAGTCCCTTTCGCAGGTGATCTATACATCCATTTTCAACTAGTTCGGATTGATGATCAGTCCCATCTACAGGCAATCTATACATCCATCTTCAAATAGTTCGGATTGATGATCAGTCCCTTCCACAGGCAATCTATACATCCATTATCAAATAGTTCGGATTCACGATCAGTCCCTTCCACGGGCAATCTATACATCCATTTTCAAATAGTTTGGATTAACAATCAGTCCCTTCCACGGACGATCTATACATCCATTTTCAAATAGTTTGAAATGATGATCAGTCCTTTTCATGGTGATCTATGCATCCATTTTCGAGTAGTTTAGATTGATTATCAGTCCCTTCCACGGGTGATCTATACATCCATTTTCAAATAGTCGGAATGACGGTCACTCCCTTCCACAGGCGATCTGTACATCCATTTCCAAATAGTTCAGATCGTCGATTAGTGCATTCCACGAGGGATCTATACATCCATTTTTGAATAGTTCAAATTGATGATTAGTCCCTTCCATGGACGATCTACACATCCATTTTCAAATAGTTCGGATTGATGATCAGTCCCTTCCATGGGCGATCTATACATCCATTTTCAAATAGTTTGAATTGATGATCAGTCTCTTCCACTGGCGATCTTTACATCAATTTTCAAATAGTTCGGATTGATGATTTGTCCCTTCCACGGGCAATCTACATATCCTTTTCCATTTACATTTCAGATTGACGATCGGACCTTTTCATGTGTGATCTATACATCCATTTTCAAATAGTTTGGATTGATGATCAGTCCATTCCACAGGGCAATCTAAACATCCTTTTGCAATTTACCTTTCGGATTGGCGATTAATTCCTTCCATGGGCGATCTGCATGTCCTTTTCCAATTTACATTTCGGATTGACGATCAGTCCCTTCCACGGACGATCTATATATCCTTTTAAATTTCTTCTCATATTTCGGATTGATGGTTTGTCTCATCCACGAATAGCCTACACATCCTCTCTTTTTCAGAATCCCCCACCTTAAGACAAGGTTTCCCCATTTCTGTCTTTGATTTTAGAAACCTAACCAAAATCGTTGCTTCTTTCTTTACTTATCTTTTACAAAGATAATTCAAAAATTCTACATTTTTGTACTTCTAGTAAAAGCTAAGTAAAGAGGGGCAACTCGTTAGCACTCAATTTCGTCCGGGTAGCTAAATTTTTTTAGAAAAATAAATAGTAGAGTTTATTTTAAAAATATATATTTTTATTTAAAAAAAAAGAATAAGAGAGGGAAAGAAAATTAAAATTAAAAATTAAAATTTCTTTAATTAGTATTTCTCCTTTTAAAATAAATAAAGAAAAAGAAAAAGAAGAAAAAACATTAAAAACAAAAAAAGTAAAAATAAAAAATATTTTTCTTTATGAATACAAAAAGGAAAAGTTAAGTAATAGCTTTTTAGGAATTTTTTAAGAAAAAAGAGAGAAAAGGAAAAATAATTCTATCTAACATTTTTTACATTTATCTAAAAATTATATGGAAAAGGAAACAAAGAGAAGTATTTATAGAAAAATTAATATAAATATTTAACTTTTACTTGCATTTTCATCTTTTGGGCCCAATTCATTGTAGGCTTCATTACCCAGTGCTTTTAACCTAAAAATATTCTTTAAATGGGAGTTTTTCTCCCCAAATATCCACTCACCTTGGTCTCCTCCATTTCATCTCATGCGGGTCCACTCTTCTTCCCCACCTTCAACCTCAATTCCCTACTCCTTCTCACCACACCACCTTTTGCAACTATCTTCATCCCCAAAATCCCATCTCCTTCCCCTCCTCTGCCACCTTAACCCTAGCCCATTTTTCCCCACACTCACATAGTCACACTCATTTTGGTTTTCCTCACCACCACTTGGCTCTAACCAAACTCCTCTTCATCTCCAGTCCTCCTCACCATCAACATCTCCATTCTTCAGCCCCTCACTCACTCAAGCCCTTAACTGCCACCCCTCATCACTTTCCCCTCTCCTCTCATCCCAACCACCACGGTTGGCTCGCACAATCCTGGCGACCACTACCCTTCGTAGTCTCACCCTCTCCGCGCCGCACTCTTCCCACAAACACCCATTTCTCCTTCACCAAATCACTCACACCCTGGACCCCGCACATCACTCACTCTCATCCTAGTAGCGGCACCCACTGCTTCCCCTAATACTCACCATTCACTCATTCCCTTTCTCCTCTAATATCAATCGCTTCCCACTCACCCTCGTTTTCATTCTCCCAACTCCCTTGCAGCCCCGTTCGCATCCCATAATCAAAAGCCTCAAACACCCATTCCTAATCGACCCTGGACACCTTCCACAACCACCGTGGAGCCATCGCAGAGCTGTTAGAAATGTAGGTTGGGATCAAGAGGGCGGGGTGAATTGATCTTTGAAAGATTTTTCCACTTTTAAGAATACAGATTATCTATTTCAAAGATTTAGAGTTCTGATCACTTTTCAAATCAAGAAGAAACAAGCAATTCAATATAATGTAACAGCAAAATTAAAGAGAGTAAAGGTTTAGAGAAATACAACCAAGATTTATATTGGTTCACCCAAACCACTAGGCTACATCCAGTTCTCAGCCAATTCTAACTGAGTTCCACTAGATTGAATGTTTTACAGATTACAATTCTGAATCACACAACACCCAATCTAACCCAAGAATCAAATTCCAGAGTTCTTGTACCTAAACCTTCACCAAGAACCAAATTTCATTTCTTGTTCAAACCTGCAACCAAATTCCAGTCACAGAAACTGTGCCCAACAATTCCAGGCACTCACAATATAGAAAAAATTTATAGAAAACAAAGGAGAAGAAACCAGAACAATCAAACCCGATTATGCAGTCTGAAGCACTTGTTGGATTTGATGAAGACATATAAAGTTCATTTTTGGGTGTGTAGGTAGATAGGTTATAGGTATGGAATTTAATCTCTTTATAATTACAAGTATATCTTGTGATAAGCGCCTATAACTATTGCATTTCATAGAATTTATCATACTTCATGAAAAACCAACCTTTAAGCTTTGAAAGAACAAACTGAGTTTTTTAATCTATTAAAAAGTAGTTTTACTATGTTAAAATCACTTAAAATAGGAAATGCATATATACAACCAATATTTTAATTGATTAAACCATAAAATCAACAGATTAAAATATTCTTGATGTTTTTTTATGTTAAGGGTTTCGCAGTATTAATCTCTTAAATTGATAAATCAATAGATTAAAATGTTCTAAGTCATAATTCGCATTTTAAGTATCTCAGATTTTTAATTTGTTAAAATGAATTTTAATCTGTTAAAACAGAGAGCTACCATTTTTTTCATTTTAAGTATCTCAGATTTTTAATCTGTTAAAATGAATTTTAATCTATTAAAATAGAGAGCTACCTTTTTTCTTCTAGCAGTTTTAATCCACTAAAAGCTCGAATTAACCGATTGAAAGAGTTTTAAATGAAATCAATCGATTAAAACATCATTTTAATCAATTGAAACTATTAGTTTTTTTTTTTTACTCTATAAATACAGTTTTGATTTCTCTTTCAAAAACACAATTTGGAAATCGATTAAAAGAAATCTTGGAGCTCTCATATTCGTGTGTTTTTCTGAGCATTCATACACATTCATATCATAAGGCGCTTTGATCAAGATTGTTGAAAGATCTTCAAGAGAGAAAGTTTTGTGTTAGAAAATTTTCTTTTAGACTTCTGTATTGCAAAAGCTACAGTCCAGGTTTATTCCTTCCAATACTTGTACGAATTTTAATTGTGTAGATTGGGTTTGAATCTGCATTGGTTACACTGACTGGGTTTGGTTGCTGGGTGGTTTTTTAAGAGTCTATCTTGTGGTGTTGTAAGGTAGATCTTGGGGTAGATTGGTTTGTATCTATTGGTTTGTATTTTCACTTGGTATTAGTGGAACTTGACATATTTGTCAAGAATTGGATGTAGCTCTTGGGAAGAGTGAACCAGTATAAAAATCTTGTGTTGTATTTCTGCATTTATCTCTTTTCGTTTCTAGTTTATATTCTTGCTTTGTTAAAAACCAAAATATGCCTAATAAAAGATTAGATAAAGATTAATCATTCTTCCACAAAGAAAGCGTTTTTTGAAAAAGGTTTCAAAGTTCAATTCACCCCCCTCTTGAACTCAACCATTTATTCTTACAATTAGTATCAAGAGCTGACTCTTGTAAGTTACTCAAGAATTCGGTCCAAGAAAGTTTAAATGGCTAAGGGAAAGATGAATTTTTCTGAAGGAGCCTCCATCAATAGGCCTCCTCTATTTTCTGGTGTGAATTATTCCTTCTGGAAGGTTAGAATGAAATTCTTTATTGAATCTCTTGATAGGGGTATTTGGGATACAATTGTTAATAGTCCTTTCAAACCAACTCATACAGTGGATGGTTAAATTGTTGAAAAAGACTGGGCTGACTTAACTGATGCAGAAAATAGGAAAGTTCAATATGATTATACTACTAAGAACATTATTACCTCTTCCTTAATTCTTGATGAGTTTTTCAGGGTTTCTCAATGCGCCTCTGCCAAAGAAATGTGGGAGATTCTAGAAGTCACTCACGAAGGTACCTTTGATGTGAAAAGGGCAAGGAAGCATGAATTAATCAGAGATTATGAATTTTTCAAAATGAAACAAGGTGAAACCATTGCAGATGTGCAGAAAAGATTCACACATATAGTCAACCATCTAATTGGATTAGGCAAGACGTTTGACAAGGAAGAGTTAAACATCAAAATCCTAAAATGTTTGGACAGATCATGGCAACCAAAGGTGACAACCATATCAGAATCAAGAGACTTAATTGAGATGACTACTGCCTCATTGTTTGGTAAGCTAAGGGAACACGAGTTGGAGATCAACATGTTTAAAGAACAAGAAAATGAAGAAAAGAAAAGCAGAAACATTATTCTCAAGACAATTGAAGAAAGTTGTGACTCTGATGAAGAAGGATCTGAGAATCTTAATTTGTTGGTTAAGAAGTTTGGGAAATTTCTTAAGAAGAAGAACATAACTGGCCAGATTAAAAGGTACAATGATAAAAGAACTTATTCTCTTCAAAATACTTATACTTGTTATTCTTGTGGTAAGCAGGGACATAAAAGAAGTGACTGTCCAGAAAAATCCAAGAATCAAAACAAGAAAGATATGAAGTATAAAGGGAAGAAGGCCTATATAGCCTGACAAGACAATGATTCATCCTCAAGTTCTGGATCTGAAAGTGAAGAAGTGAATCTATGCTTAATGGCTGACTATGAATCTTCTTCATCCCGTGTAAGTTCAACCCCCACAGAGAATGAAATGAATTACAACACATTATTAACTACTTTCAATGAAATGCATGATGAAGCTAAGAATTTATCCTATATAAATAATCGGTTAAAAGGACTAAATAACTGGTTAGAGAATAGAGTTAAAGTTCGGGAAGAAGAATTATTAGAATGCAAAATAGATATGGAACATCTTGAAATAATCTACAATAATTCATCTTATGATAATGTTGCTGCTAACAAAGATTGTGAAAAGTGTATCTCTCTGCAGAAAAAGGTTGAGTATTTGATTAAAACTTTATCTAAGTTTACTCAAGGTAAAGCAAATTTAGATGCACTTATTGGGTCTTAAAACTGTGTTTTTTGATCATACTGGCATTGGTTATAAATCTAAGTTTGGGGTTAAAACTAAAAGGTGTTTGAATTTCTTCTCTTTCAGAAAATCAACAACATCTCCCTTCTCATCTTGTCACTATTGTATGAAAAAGGGGCATACTGTAAAATTCTGTCATATTAGAAAACATCTTGTGCCACAGGGTAAAATGAGATGGATTCCAAAATATGTTAAATAGAAAACTTGACCACTAAGGACCCAAATTATTTAAGGGTACCAAATACTTGATGCTTGATTTTTCAGGAACAGTAGCAAGAATCACTTTGGTACTTGGACAGCGGATGCTCAAGGCATACGACAGGTGATATTTCCAAATTTCAGAAACTGAGATTGAAGACTGGAGGTCACGTAACATATGGAGATAACAACAAGGGAAGAATCTTAGGTTCTAGAGATATAGGAGATGGTGAGACTGTGACCATTCACAATGTTCTTTTTGTTGAAGGTCTTAAACACAACTTAATCAGCATAAGCCAATTATGTGATCTTGGTCACAAGGTTATCTTTAAACCAAAAATCTGTCTAATCTGTGAGCCAAAATCTGACACGGTAATGCTGGTTGGTAAGAGATTAAACAACAATTACATGCTAGATATCAAACATTCTATTTCATCTCAAAGTTGTCCTCTTACTAAAGAAGAAGAATCTTGGTTATGGCATAGAAGGCTTGCCCATATTCATCTTAATCATCTTGACAAATTAATTTCTAAAGATTTAATTTCTGGACTGCCTAAGCTTCAAATCCTGAAAGACAAAATCTGTGAAGCTTGTTTAAAAGGTAAACAAACTAGAAAATATTTTTCAAATAAAAACATTGTTTCTACTTGTAGACCTTTGGAACTGCTCCACTTAGATTTGGTTGGTCCTTCAAGAAATAAAAGCCTAGGTGGTAATTTTTATATCATGGTAATTGTTGATGATTTTTCCAGATTTACATGAATTGTTTTTCTAAAAGCCAAATCAGATTCTTTCAAATCTTTTAAAAAGCTTGCCAAGGTTTTACATAATGAGAAAGGTTATTTCATTACTTCTATTCAAAGTGACAATGGTGGAGAATTTGTAAATGAAAAGTTTGAATTATTCTTTGAAAAGTATGGCATAAAACACAACTTTTCTGCTCCAAGAACTCCTCAACAGAATGGTGTTGTGGAAAGGAAGAACAGATCCATTGTGGAACTTGCTAGAACAATGCTTTGTGAAAACTCTTTACCTAAATACTTTTGGGCAGATGTTGTAAACACTGCTTGTCATGTTTTGAATAGAGTTTTGATTAGGCCCATTCTTAAGAAAACTCCATATGAACTTTACAAAGGAAGAAAACCCAACATAAACTATTTCAGGGTTTTTGGATGTACATGTTTTATTCTAAACAATGGGAAATAAAATATTGGCAAGTTTGATGAAAAATCTGATAAAGGGATCTTTCTTGGCTATTCTTCTA